AGATGAAGTCGAGAATTCGGGAAAGTCTGGAATTCACGAAATTAAATGTTAAGACTGCGATGCAAAATATTATGGACAGACAAAATCTATTAAAATAAGATATTAGGAACACTTAGACCTGAATACCAATACTATATAGCTTGTTAAAATAATATTAAATTTATCAGATTCACCTGCCTATTACCTATGGACATTATTAGATAGTTTGTAATCAGTATCTTCGCATATATATACCTAGACCAGTGCCGAAGCCCCCGAAAAAGGTAAAAAGAGAATGAAAATAGTAGTAGGATGAAACCCATTGGAATAGGAAACAAATATGACAAAAATGAAAGGAAAAATAATTTACATGCGATCTGAGGTCAGAAAATGAAAGGGGGTGAGTTTTTGGGGGTAAAAAATGGTTTATCACGATTTGCAGTCAAACTACCAGTCTTATGACAAATAGTGACAAAATTGTAGTTATTAGAAAAATACAACTTTTGTATTCACATGTTTTGCATATTACCTCGAAATTCATGCAAAAAATGTAAATAACCGATTTTTTGTTTTTTATTTTTATATTCTGCAAACTCATCTTTTCATGTCCTAAACACACTTTGATTTCCTGGATATGAAATATTCTTTTTTCCCCTATTTCAATTCAATTTCGAGAAAGCATCCTCATTTTCAATCGAAAATTCCCACGTCAAAAAATTGTGTGTGCTTCTCGTTTGGTGATGGTGTTTTCCATGGTGTAAAAAATATACCTACATGAGTATTGCAAATTTTTTCAAGAAATGCAAAAAAAAACATTCGAATTCGAAAAATGTTTGTTTCATTATCATGTGAAATTTTGAGCTATTCATTGAAATTTTCACGTCAATTACCCAAAACATGTAATATTCCATGTTGCATTTTTTCCGATAAAATTCTTTTGAGGGGACACCTATGCATGAGCTATCAGAGGGCATTTTCTAGTACAGCTTGCGTTGTCTGAATTATTTTTCGTCGGATGGAGTTTTCGTTCCCAGAAAAGGGGCTATTGGATATTTCGACAACTTCTAGCAAATCATAGCATTTAAATTTAGTGCAAAGAAGAGGTCCTATCGCAAAACTTTGAATGAAGTACTGGCAAATGGTCTCATTATTTGAAGAATTCATACGAACGTGCAAGTAATTGGGAATTATATTTAAAATGCGTGGAAAGAATTTTCCTTTATTGTGGACACTTTTTATATGCAAAATCTGCTCATCTTCATCTATAAGATATGCGAAGGTTCAAAGACATAAAAAATGATGATTATGAATTTATGGACACCCGATATTCTGTCGTGAGAATTTTCGATCGAAAATTGGGGTGCTTCCTCGACATTGAATCAAAATAAAGGGAAACATTGAATATTTCGAGTCTAAAAATATACAGTGTATTCGGGACAAGAAAAAGTAAGTTCACACGAAATTTGGTGAATATTTTTTTTGCAGAAGATGAGCAAAAATAAACCTGAAATGAAATAATAGTGAAATAAAATACAAGTAAAATAAAACAATTGAACAAAAATAAATAAAAATAAAAAAACCAAAAAATCATCTATTTTAATTTTTCGTTCATATTTTGAGGTTATATGGAGAATGTATGGGTTCAAAAGTTGTAGATAATTTCATTATCTACATGTTTGCCTTCCAACTTTTTTCCATTGGACTTGTAGTTTTGCCGAAAATTGCGTTTTTTACCTTCAAAAACTCACCCCCTTCCACTTCCCGATCTCAGATCGCCCGTAAATTATTATTCTTTTAATCTTCATCATACTTCTTCTCTTCTTCTTTGGGTTTCATTCTACTCCAATTCTTTTTGTTTCAAAAATTAGTAATAATGAGAGATAGATAGAAATACACATTTATTTGACAACATTACAGTTTTTGTGATTCACTGTTTGGAACCTTTGGTGTAGTCTTGATTATTATTGGAGTTTTTATCCCAACACCTAACCGTTATTTCTACCATCTCGACACGTGTTTGGATCACCGAATACGTGTCGTAAATAACGGTTTGGTGTTGGGATGAAAACTCGGTAATAAAAATTACAGTAAAATGTTTGTTGCAAGAATACCGAAAGGTATGTCCATCCATTGGATTTCCATTGGATTCTCATTCTTATTCTCAATTGTCTGTTTTATTTATATCTCCACTCGACGGATAGATAAGTTCACACCCTCGTTCGTATATTCAATTTTTGGTTAGTAAAATCAACTTTGAGAATCATTCCGTCATCAGTTGTGAAAAAAAGCATCGAAAAAATTGATCAATTCTGAAATATGACTGATTTCCATTTTTTGAGATAGGTTATTCTGAATGTACGTACGAATTATTTCACAAATGTCTCAGAGATAATAGATCATTTGAAATTCAAATGAATGGGATTTATCTGTGAAGATTACGAAGCAGAATATACTTCAGAAAATCTTGTCAAAACTATCGAAACGGATTATGTTGAATATTTCATAGCTTTTATCTATTAAAGGTAGAATTTCAAATTGCAGATTTGAATGGGTGGTGATTTATGCACGGAATTCTTTCTTTTCCTTCGTCATTTCACTTGAAACTGTCGTATTATGGGGAGTAAACGATAGGTTTCCACTTCACTCGGAGATTATTGACTTCAACGGATTTGCATCCTCATTCGTACAACGTAGCAACCCATACAACTTTTCAATGTCAGTTTGGAAATTGAGTGCATAAAAGTCTATTGTGAATTCCAGTTGTTGATCATCACCATTTGTTTGAAATCAATGTGGTTATTAACATCGACTCAATTCATCAACTACTGAACATATGTTAACAGATAAAAATCTCGTCTTTTCTTACCTTCCAAACACCTTGTTACTTACTTTTTTGGACTGATGTTCGTCAGGAAGACAAACGTGTCAAGACTGATTTATGGGATGACGGCATAAATGTCCTCAGACATCAGTACCGCCCTGCACGTGGACCCCTACCTAGCCGGGGTGTTATTGTTCATCTTTCAACGGGGGACATGAGAGCCCCACTTGCCAGAATGTCTGGGCCTTCTATATCGGGAGGGGTCGTCTACAGCATAATCCATAGCTTCCCTAACTAACGGATTTTCGTGGGTTTCTGCGCAATCAAAGACTTGCTGATTCCTCGACTGAATGGACTGCTTAATGGAAGGCAGCTGCAAATCTCTGCGGATGGCTTCATTCCGTACGAACCACGAAGCATTAACTTCCATCCGTATTAACTTATTTTGCAATCTCTTCAGAATGGAGATATTAGACGCAGCCGCTTGTCCCCAGACGCCTGAAGCGTACATGATGACAGGCTTGAACATCGTTTTATAGATCGTAATCTTGTTCTTAAGGCTCAATTTAGAATGTTTGTTGATTAGAGGGTACATTTGATCCGACCTTCGATCTTTGCCTTTACGGTTGTGATGTGTGAGTTCCAGGTGAGCCTACGGCCTATTAGAAGACCGAGGCATGGAAGGTGAGAGGAGAGCCGTGTCATCAGCGTACAGAGATATCTTCACACGCTCAGACCTCGGAAGGTCACTGGTGTGAAGTGAGGACAGCGTAGGGGAGAGCACGGCCCCCTGTGGCACTCCAGCGAGGATATCTCTGTTGTCTGTTGGCCTTCGTGCCATATACGGTCGAAGGCCTTCAAAATTTCTAGTAAAACGACATGGACTTTTTTGTTTCGATTCAGTTCCGCGATGGTGTTTTCGACCAATGTCAGAGCCTGTAACTCAGTGGAGTGTTCTCTCCTTAAGCCGAACTGTTCGTCAGGCATTTCGGTCCTCCATTTCTTTATTGAGTCTTTGCAGAACGACTCTTTCAGCCTGGCTCAGCCGCCGAAAAGCAGACTAATCGGGCGATAGTTCTGTGGGAACAACTGGTTCTGACCCTGTTTTGGGATTATGATAACGATCGCATGCTTTCACTTTCTGGGGAAGTGTCTGAGGGCCAACGAACTATTTATAATATGCAGTAGGTTTTCGACGCAGTTGTCTGGGAGCCTCTTCAACAACTTATTGGTTATTGAATCGACCCCCGGAGCTTTCTTGGCTATTGCGGCCATGATGTAACCCTTCAGCTCTTCCACAGAAGCCGGACGGATGTTAAAGTCGTCATCTTCCCTGTCAACGTCAGGTTGAAACTAACGTTCCATCGTGTCGGCAAAGGATAACGCTTTGTCGGGGGGGAATAGCACACTTCGCGCTCTCCGTGTATGGGTGAGGGAGCAGTCTTCTTTCCTCTGAGTCTGCGGGTGACTCGCCAAAGCTCGTCATCCTCAGGCCCAAGAGATTCCAAGAGCTCCTCCCACCTTCCATTTCGATGATCAATGATGGCCTGTTCAACTTGATTGGCCATCCTGCTTGCCGCAATTTTGAATTACTTCCATAAAATTGACTGCAGACTGGATAAAATTTCTTGTGGTTTTTAAATGTTTTCTTATGAGCTAGGAATTTCCAAAATGTTCATTCCAGAATGTTGTGGTGAATTATGTGATGTGGAATGCTCTCGAATACTCTCAAATGGTACGGACTTCTAGAACCCTCTAGAACGTTGAAATTTCAAACCGAAAGCACGCTTTTCAGGTGAAAACAGTAGCATTTGTTGTTACACTATGACAAAAACATACATTCCTAACGTATATGTTCTGTTATCCGTGCAGAGCCGAGTCGGGTCACTGATTTGTTATAATTGAAACCTCATACTTATAGCTTGAACTCATTTAACTCTAATCAAGTTTTGTTACAAATTACTTTCAGTTTTATGAAAATTGCTTGTTTTGAATTACTCCCAGTTTCTCATGAATTAATGAAACAAAAAACGGAAACGCTTATTCAATAAACGTCTATTAGGAGTCCCATTCTTTATAATCACGTCATAGCAAACTTATAATGCGATATAATCAACGTCAAAATACTGACTGACGACTACCGAAAAATAAAGATTGAAAACCATGCGAAAATAATTTTCCCTTTCTATTTTTCAGTGTTGCGAACCTTCGATGGAGAAATGTTGACGTTAATGAATGTTCAACGTACTGATATGGGATCCTATTTATGCATAGCCAGTAATGGAGTACCCCCAGCTGTGAGCAAGCGATACTTCGTTATAGTTCATTGTGAGTCATATTTTGCTTCGTTAGTTTCAGAAAAAGATGATGAACAAATAATTTCATATATTATACTTGACTGACCAGACTTTGTTCTAGATGTTTTAATTTCTGAGTTTCCCTAAAGCCGATACTTTGTTGTTTTCTGTTGCAATAACAAAATGATATTCATTGATTAACCAGTTTCAAATATCGTAAAATCCTTATTTGAAAATTGAATGGAATATAAAGTTCGACAGTAACGGTTCACTTGCCCTAAGGTTGGCCATACTCTGATCTATACGTTGGTTATTGGGCAAAAAAGATGATGAAGAGTTATTTTGAATCTTTGATTTAACTGAACAGACAACACTGAAAAGTTTCGTTTGTATACGTTATGAACCGAGTTTCTTGAGGATATTCACTTCTTTATACTTCAATGCATAAACAAAATTTTATAACATTATTCAAAAATTTTCGTTTTTTTTTGACGAATAAAGATGAATAATTTTTAAGTGATCTCCGTCAAGCTTCAACACTTCCCGTGAAAGTATCTATAGAAGAAAGACAAACCTTCAACCTTTCTTCGATGTTCTAGACCATCAGGGTTGCAAGTGATGTTCGCGTCTTCAGTCAGACGGATGGCTCTTTTTTGAATAAAACCCAGCTGCTTCAGAATACCACCCTGAATTAATTTTACAATTTTGCCTTATCTATTATTTTTCAATATATGTTTAACTGTTGAAGCTGTATATAAAACAATTTTCAGCTATATAAACATTAATTTCACCTGGACCACCTGGATGGTTTACCTGTATGGGATATCTATCCAGCATAAATAGCGTTAGCTTCGCGTTAGTTTCCAGTTGAATCTTCCTCTTTGAAGATGATCACTCGGTGATCGAAACACGTGTCAAGGTGGTAAAAATAACGTTTTGGTGTTGGGAAAAAACTCCAGTAATATTCATTACTACACCAAAGGTTCCAAACATTAATACAGATGATTGTATGATTTTCACTGTAAAGGGTTTTACAAAAACCGCGACACGTGTTTCGGTATACAATAGCTTTCTTAAGCGTTAATAATAAGTTACTTCTGAATGGCAACTATTTCATACTCCAACATATCACCTACTTGTTTGACTATTTTCTTATGAATGAATCTACCTAGAAAGGTCAAGTATAAATTCATCAATTATATGAATGAATGAAATTTCCGAAAATACCGTAATCAAACTTAACTTTACTTACCTGGTAATAAACAGATTCGAAAATGGCCAATTATACAGTTCGATTTGATCGTTCATAAGATATTGAGACATTTAAAATTTGTTCATTTCCATACTCTCCAACAGGTTAAGTGTTAAACCTTTCTTATGGAATAGGAGGGGCTTGATTTCATGGTTGAACTCATGTCCCTCTGTGATTGAATGAGTGGCATATATGTAGTTTATTCATTCATTCTGGAAAATATTTCTGTGTTCCTTTGTGCGGGCCTTGAACGTTCTTTCAGTTTGACCTATATAAAACATCTGACATGACCCACATGATAATTTATACCTTCCCCTCACCCTTTTATCTTTCTTATTCTTAATATGCATGCCTGAGTTGTTGTTGGTTTTGAAAGCAATATTTACACCTTTGTTGTGCAGAAAATTTGAAATATTCGTAGGGGGTTGGCCTGAGCAGGTTAAGGTTCTGTAAATTTTATACTCATCTTTTCGAATCGGGTGAACTTCCTTCAAAGCTTGGCGGTAAAACATTTTTGATAATGATAATAATGATCATAATCATTGGCAACGGATATTTGTTATATTATGTTCAGTTCTTTATTGGAATTCACATCAGACAAAGAAACATTTATCAGTCTGTGGATCATACTGTTGAATGCTACCACTTTGTGCTGATATGGGTGAGGGGACGAATTATGAATAATAATATCTATATGTGCTGGTTATTTATATTCATGATTGACTCATCACCTATCATGTGAATGTACGACAAGAATTCATTCATAAATTCAACCCTCTGAATGAGCTACGGAAATGAAATCCTTTCATTATACAAAATTGATTCATTGGTTCTGCATGAATTTTTGTTAACACAATTTCCTCAAATTCACAAATATTCAACAGACAGTTTTCTTATCTGATTGTTTCAGTTCACCCGTTGATCAGAGTGTCGAATCAGCTGGTAGCCGCACCAATAACAAGTGACGTTCACGTGCAATGCTACGTCGAAGCATCTCCGAAAGCTATGAACCTTTGGATGCGGGACAACGGTAAGCACTTTTCCCAAGAGTCGAGCTTAACCGGCATACGCCCCATATATTGTAGTCTCTACCGCAGTCCGATATCAACATTTCAAATTACCGACTGTGCTGTCCCGAAAACGGACCCTGCAGTTACTTTCATATATCACGTTAAACCTGAATCATGTTATCTCCCCCACATCATTTTACATTTTCGGCACATACAGGGATTGTCGTTAATTGACTCTGTAACAATTCATGCAAGGTGATTCGATAACACAACATTCAGTACTTAGTAAAAAAATAAATGTTTCACTTGTGTTCGAAAAATTGATTTTCCTAATGCGTTTATCTTTCTCCTCGATACACACTCACTTTGATTTCCGCTACTATTTTGATACAGGAAATGATTATTTACCTCTTGGGACCTTCTACTTCACAGTAGTTAGAACAGATCCTGTCACAGACGATGGTATCATCGTATGTGGTCGAGTTATATGAGATCAGTCTAGTTCTGGATACGCTGCTGCATTGGTGAATCTTTCCAGTACTAACCAAAAGTAATACTCCATAACCAGTCTTGTAGATGATCAGACGATTAATTTCAGCGTGGTCGAGCAAAATGCATCTGCAAAAATTTTCTCTGAAGGGAATTTTCTACGAATATCTGTCGTATGTGAGTCAATGTTAGTCTTTTCATTCGCCAAGTAAGTAATTGTTTCCCGGAGGAAAATTTCTACTTCCTACTTTCTCCAAGATATTCATTTTCTTAGTACTCTCTTCTCGTTACGGTCTTCAGCGAGGAGAAACCAGCAAATCAGGAATAGCAGAGCATGTTTGGACTCATCAACGTAACATCAAGTGGGCTCAAGCTAAAATCATCCACAAGGAGGAACACTGATTAAGGAGAAAACTTAAAGAAGCCGCATATATGTTGTACAACAACGCATTTAGCCAAACAAGCATAGAGATACACAACATATGGAAATCTCTAATCAAGCGGAACACGATCAACTCCCGCCAAACGGTCAGCTTCTGCCAAAAACCAATGAAGCAGAGAGAAGGAAGAGGTGAAAGCACTCGAATGACCTATAAATACTCATTACTCGGAGAAATTGCCCCAACACCCGAAAACTTCGGTGGGTCAGTGCCACCGATGCCAACGTTTCGCCCACTGCCAACGCAACTACATCTGCGTGAAGTGCGCCGGCAGGCATCTATAACCAGTGTCAACTATCATGGCTGCCCGGCGTACCTGAAGGTACAGCAAAATGGGAAATCTTCCGCCAGGAAATCAGCCCCTTCAGGAAGACCTGCGGGGTCTTGATGACCCCGATGACTCATCATCATTATCATGATGAAAAAACCTTCGAAGAAGCCAGCCACTCGTACTGGCGAAACATTAGAATGCAGTTCCAAACTATGACGACGTCCTTCAAACTCGAATATAGATAGTTACACTGAAAATCTCGGCTGCGAAAGCCTTAACCAATGTATCAAACAGTATATGACTGAATTGAGGTTGGGTTGGATATTGGTTGACAAGCCCCTTAGTTATACTAACTGAAATATCAGGAAAAATTAAACATTGTTACCCAACATATTTTATTCAAAATGCCGAAAGTCATTTTCGAAAACTCAAGAAATAATGACTCTGTTAAAAGAAAAGGACGAATATTATCTGGACTAACATGGAAATGCACAATGGAACATAACGCAATACATGTGAAACTTTGAGGACCTTTCCAAATATAGTCAACATCCCGATTGATTTCAATGATTTCCTTTTCATAAGTCAATTAATTTTTGAAATAACTACCTTTCTGCCATGAAATCACCTCCTGAAACAATATCGGTTCAATAATCTTTAACATCACTGATTTCTGCACTTCCAAATGTACAATCAACCAAAATTACCATTTACCATCAAATTTTTTCTCATATATTAATTTTCAGGTAAAAAGCTCATACCCAGTGATAAATACCGCATAGAAGAATCCATAATCAACGAGTTCTCGTTAGTTATGAACTTAACGATACTCAATTTGGACAAAAAGGATTTTGGAGGATACATCTGTACATCTTCCAACGCTTTGGGAAAAGCGGAAGGAGTAGTAAGGCTCCAAGGTGAGTGACTTTCTTTCTCAATTCTATTTATATTATATAGAGTGCTCAAAATAAGCGCACCGAAATACTTCGAGAAAGAAAACAAAGAAACTTCCAAAGTCGTTTAGAAACAAGATCTTGGGAACCAAAACAGTATACGAGCGAAACTCAAAATTCATTCTACCATCAATTCCGAACATTCTTTTTGATGTGAATGCTATTTTCCAAGTGAACTAGCTATGGTCTGCATGTTTTTATGCCTGATGTTCCTTCTACTACTGCGGTAGACACTATCAAAAGCGATTTGGTAACGGTCGCAGTGCTTAAGTTGGTGTTGGTCCTCCGTCACAACAGCATTTACCGCAAGGCAAACCAGAATCCAAAAACGAAGCATCCGTGATCCATCACCAGGAAACGCTGCTTCAAGCCGCCATAGATCTCATCAGTGGTGCTATGCTGAATCACGAATGATTGGATGGACTTAACTATGCTCAGAGAACATACCTGAGAAAAACAAAAGACAGTGCTTCAACATCTTGAAGGCTTCGACATCTTGAGCGATTATTATTATGGCTTTCGGAAACGAAGATCAACAGGTGACCTTCTATCATATACAACCATATTTGGAATAACGCATGAAGAATCAAGAACTGTAGCGCTCTAAGGCCTTTGACCGTGTATGACATGAGAGTATGCTGGTCAAACTCCGATGCTTTGGCTTGTCGGATCATTTTTGTGTATGGCTCTGCAGCTTCCAGGAAGAACGTTTCCTGCAAGTGGCCGTCACTGAATATTTCTCGAATACCATCACCATCAACGCTGGTGTTCCACAAAAACCAAGGCATTAGTTTTCTCCAAGAACATAAACGTTTCCGAACCGGTTATAATAACTTCAAGACAGACTATTTCGCTCTCAGCTTCTATTTGTTTTTTGAAGGTTAATATGTTTTGGTATAATCAAATCGCTGGAATTGCAAAGACTGTTTCTCAAAAGCTTGCTCAAAAGCACTTCTCTGAACTAGGAAACTGTACACATCTCAGCAACGTTGATGCTTTATAAAGCTTAGATCAGACCTTTTTTGAAGTATTATTCTCATGTGAGGAGCTGCGCCCCTAAGCATATCCTAAAGCTGCAGAATTTCATCCAGAAAAGAATCATCTGCCTGATTGGAGACGCGAACATCACTTGCAACCTTGATAGTCTGGAACAACGAAGAAAGATTGGAGATTTGTCTCACTTCTATAGATGATTTCACGGGACGTTTTCAAGTTTCTCGGCACATTTGATTCCACCAAGAGTGGTACATATCAGAAATACTCGACGGATTGCGGCTGCTCATCGTTTTGAGGTTCAACTCAGTACATCTCGAACTTCACTGTTCAAGATTTCTTTAATTTGGAAAACTGCGTTTATGTGGAATAAACTTCCTGAGAACGATTTTCCAAAAGGTTTCAATCTCCAGCGATTCAAATTCAATGTGAATCACCCATTTCGCACAGGTACCGCTCTTAGAACGACTTACGGATTTTTCTGTAGTATTTATGTTCTGTATTCTGAATAAGGTGAAACCGATAACCTCTCTCCTCACATAGATACCATCTATGAGATCAAAAGGAAACTCAATTCACGAATATCAAAGAGCAAGGTTTCTCAAGATACAGAAGCAAATATTTGTGATTCATTACCACAAAGCGGTATTCATGGTTCAGATTAGCATAACTGCTGGAAAAAATGGCGGGTCAGAACACTGATCTCTGGTTTAGGGTCACAGTAGCTTTGTTTGCGTTTTCTGTCGATCATATAGAAGGTGTCTTCCAGAGGTGAGATATCATCGCTTATATTTTTTCAAGTTTGTTTCTTAGGAAAAATTGAGTCTAGCAATGCATCAGTGGTTTATTCTGACACCACTGATGGGATTAATGGAAGTTCAAGACAATGTTGTCTAGTGTTGATTTATAGTTCGCAGAAAATGAAAACAATTGAGTATAACTTGACAACAGGCAACAATTCCCCAAAACGTTTTTTAAAAATTTATCCTGTTTTGAATGTGAACAGTAACCTGAAATTCTTCATAAGTTGGGAAAATACACATCTTACTGAAATTCAGCATGAACTGAATTCAATTTTCAAATTGACATTTAATAGTATGAAATGAAATGGTAATTTGGGACGACCGGTCTGTAGTTGCACAGAACTGCAATGCGAAACACGCATTTTCAGTATCAAATAAAAACTACCTAAAATAAGAATGTAGATATGAAAATGGCGTTTTTCGTGAGATTCTTGCCGCTATGAAAATCGTTTTTTGACCTGTTCTTCAGAAATCGTTAATTATTTATAACGTTTGAACACGTTAATGTTCAATGTTCACTGGTTCGAATGTTTCGAACATTANTTTTTGTATTATGATTTTTTTTCGGGGTGCCAAAGAAGAGCCATATTTTTTTTAGTTTTGCTTATATGCGCACTCAGTATTTTTGACCATTTAATAAATTTTGTTGTAAGTTACATTCGTTTAATAATCACCCGTGTGGATTTTTGTTTTTGGCTGGCGGCGTCATCGGTCCATATTTCTTTGAAGACGACGTTGGCCACGCCATCACTGTCAACGACGAGCACTATAAGTCGATGAATAGCAACTTCTTTTGACCTTAGTAGGATGATCTGGACACCAACGATATGTGAGTACGAGAGGACGTCGTCGCTGTGTGCCACAGAGCTCATGCCACATTGGATATTCCGCAGGAGCAATTTGAGGGCATGGTCATCTCACTTGGAGGTGATGTAAACTGGCCACCGAGATCGTGCGATTCGACCCCGTTAGACTTTTTCTTGTGGGGTTTTCTTGAGTCAAAGTTGTGAGCGAATAAGCCACAAACCATAGCGGTTCTCAAAGCCAATATAACCCGTGCCATCGGTCAAATTCAGCCTGAATGTGCCAAATTAAAAAAATATATCTCACAAACACCATGTTTCACTTAAAATTAAAGATAGGAAGCTCCTAATGAATAACCCTAAAGTATAAACACGCCTGAAGAAACTAATTTTTAGCAAAACAAGTGTTGAGATTTTCTAAAACTGTTGAGTTGAAATCTCACAATAAAAGCGGTTCTGGAATACATTGCGTATTTTCATGAAGTATCGGCCGATTCCATTACATAGTTGTATCGAATGTCATCATTTTCAATTACTATCCAGAATATCAGGTAATATATAATTTTCTGGTAGTTGGAATGAAAAGACAAACTTACTATACTCATTAAAGTATGAAGTGTTGGCGGATCTATACTAATGGGTAGTCTTACCCATACAAAAGAAGATTCGAATGGCCCGCAAAACATTACACATTATTTGGAACTGTTTTGGAACATTTCTCAATGACCTGGAATCTTCCAGAACGTTCCAGAACGTTTCAGATTGTTACTGAACATTTCACAATATTTCCGAATGTTCCAGTATGTTCTGCAATGTTGTGCTCTCGAATGTATTGTTATATTTCAGATTTTTTTAGAGAGAAAAACTTTCAACCTTCATATCTTCAATACCACTCTCTGCAGATAAAAACGAAAACCTCATACATGGTCAAGCTGATGACACGATATGACAGGAAATAAATGTAGGCATATATTTTGTGCTTCCCGCCCGACGCTGGGTTGATGGCTACTGGAAATATTTTCATATTCGAAAATCTAAGGCGGTATTTTTAATTCTCCTTCAATCCCATACATATTTATCAGTTCAAAATTTCTGAATTGTTCAAGGGGTCGAGATACAGCATGATTAGGGGATATTTCAAATCTGCATACAACGAAATATTTTTCAATTCGGCTGAGCTATATCCGCTAGGGTGCATTTGTTGAAATTTTTGTCCAAATTATTGAGAAGATCCTTGAGGATATCATTGCTAGTGTTGAAAGTACGATTCAATGTATGCCTGATTCCTCGAAGGGACTAGTTCAGGAATTCAAGTCAATTCAAAAATGTTTATTAAACTTCTGGATTAAATTACAAAATATTTGTAATAGTGTATTTTGTGTGGGGCCCTGCTATAGGCTTATGCCTCTTCAGGGTTAGTGGATTGTGTGTGTGTTGTCTTGTGTAATGATGTCTAGTGTAGTGTTGTTTTATGTTCATGTCTTCCACTTGTTTTTCTTGTTTTTTCGTTGCTCCGTTAGAGTGGTCCGGGTCAGTTGCAGTGGTCATTGGAATATGGGTACAGGTTGTGAGGCCAGGGGTAAATGGCTTCCTCTTTCAGCTCCTTCCAGGACGTAGCTGTCCGCTATCTGATTCACAGTGGCCATTTCTCTAGGACATCCTGGATCTACTCCAGCGGATCTTACATTGAACCCAGGTTTCTTGTTGGGAGAAATGGGAGCGTCTTCCTAGGTATCCTTCTGGGTCCTCTACGGAGAGTACAAGGTGTTGTCAGCGAAATGATGGGAACGGCCTTATTACTGCTCATCATTCTTGTCGCGTATCGTCCTTGAAGTTCCTGAAATCGTAGGTTGATTGGTGTATTATTTACTAGATTATATAAGTTTTGAGATGGGTAACGGTAAGGGAGGTTGTGGATGTTGCGTTAGATCCTTCTCTCGGTTGTTAGGATACGGCGGAATAGTCTCGGGGGAAGCGTATAGTATATCATCGCTTTGTAGTCTAGGACTGGTCTTATGAAAGTTTTATATATTTATAACAATAATAATAATAATTGTCTTTATTGTTACTCAGCTGTAGTTACATACGAATATTTAAATAAATTAGAGAGCTAGTTGCTGATGTAACAAAAGGCAAAGTTCAACTCAGTTAGCACAAGTGCTACTATGTGTGTAGGAGAGTTTCACCGTCGCACCTTCCGAGCTTGTCTCTCAGTGCTTTTAGCAGGTTTGCTCTTTTCCGGACTCTGTTCAGAGTTTCTCTCAGGTTGACCTCCCAGTTGAAGGTCCACGTGAAGTTGACGCCCAAGTAGGACATCAAATCTTGAAGTATGAGGTTTTCTCCTAAGTTCTCTGAAATTCAAGTT